CAGCACAGCACAGCACAGCACAGCACAGCACAGCACAGCACAGCACAGCACAGCAGACCAATACATTGTGCAGGCCAACACAAAATGTTTCAAAGCCAAAAAAATTATTGACTCAACCAATGATCTGGCAGGCAAAGCACTTCTGTGCAATGTTTCAAAGCATCAAGTGGTGAAGTACTAACCTTGTGTGAAACTTTCTCCAGTTTGTGGATGAACAAGAAATGGAAGGAAGTCACTGCTGTGAGTCAGCATGTATTCACTAACTTGTTTCCTTAGCTGCTGATAGTCAGACTAAAATGCAAAAGCAAGTTCATCCAATTTTAATATTCCAGGCTTTAAATAACAGTTTTACAACTGTGGATCATTAACATGGAAAATTTAACAGTACCAGGAAAACAATGTATCATCTCTTTTCAAAATGAAATATTTTGCTAAAAATGACAAAAATTTATGYTTTTTTCTAAAATATAACAGGCTGTGGAATAGAAATGAAAATGGGTGGGGCAATCACACAAAAGTGGGCCACTTATTTTCATTGATGGATGCCAAAACATTTCATGTRTATATGTTGATCAAACTGGAGCCAAATAAAAAAAAAAAACGTTTCTAACTATTTGCCCAAAAAAATTATTTGGTTAAATTTTCACTTGATTTACTTAGATCTCAAATTTAATTTTTGTCAATTTGAGATGCCTCTTTTCCCCATTTTCCCTCCTTTTATGGGTTTGATACCGTATTGGTTCAGGGTAGTCCCTATWACAATCACCCCACCCCCCCTTTTAATGAACCTGTATCCTCCCCTGTACCCAAAAGCACAGCCCTAACCAGTATGAATGAGCTTTCTAGTTTGGAAAGCTGTAGAAAAGACTTTAAATACAATTAGAATAGATCCAAGTATCATCAGATTTTTTACTTGTTTTCTCTGACTTTTGCATGTTTTACAATTCAGACGTTTCGAGCCTTGATCGAGGAACTTCTTCAGTATACGTAGGACTATCTCCAGGGCCCGGTTGTACGAAGCCTGGACTAAGCATTATCCAATGGATAAATCTTATCCAGTGCATACATTTATTGGATAACAGCATCCACCTATCCACTGGATAAGGGTTTATCTGCCGGATAGCGCTATCCAGGCTTTGTACGACTGGGCCCAGATGATTCTACGGATATGATTAGTATTTATGTCACATTTTGTTATTAACTAAAGAAAACTACACTGACCTCCAATTTTCTTCTTCTTAGCTGATCTGCAACAGCATTATATAAACTATAAATTAAATCAAAGGAAAAGTCATTGTTTGCTCTTTATGGGTTTAAATTCAAAAAATCAATAATTGTGATTTAATCAGAGGTTGTTTCCAGGTATATAGAAAATTATTTTGAGGGGGTTTTGAGGGAATGGATTTTTTATTTTTAACCATTTTTGCTTACCAGTGTCCATCAGGAGTTATCTGAAACAGAAAGAGCAATGAAACTTCAGAAGAAAAAAAACAAAAAACAATGAAATTATAGCAGTAGAGTGCACTCTATATATATCAGTAAAACAATTATTACTAGCTATTTAGCAGTATTTAGTTGTCAACTGAAATGTTCTCATTGATATCCCTGAAAATGAGATAGAGCCTTAAAGCTTGGATAAATAAATGTCATAAAAACGTACGTGAAACAAAAAAACTTCTGGTTCATTATGAACCCTCTGCACAACACACTCAGGCATGTCGAACCAAAAGAAGACGTGTAGAGGTATTTGCTTTTGTTCTCAATATTCTGCTCCAATAGTATCTACTATTTTGTACATGAATATTTTATTTCACTAAACGTTGTGCACTCTGATTATATTGATAAATGCAAGGCTATAATTTTTTTCTTTTCTACACAAAATTTTTCATTTCAAATGACCTCAAGTATTTGTAAATTCCTTTCTTGTAAAATATTCTTCATTTTTTCTGCTTCGATATTACGGGCACAGTTCACGTTTTCTAACTCTGCTTCTGCTATTCTTTGTTCTCTTTCTTGTTCCTTGGCTGCTTTTTTGGCCCTTCGTTTTTCAGCTCGTGATGATTTATTGCCAATTTCTTCTGGCTCGGTGGAGATAGTAGTATCCTGTAGTCTTGATGAAATGTCYGACTCTGAATTTGAAGTCTGAAAAAATGAATATGAAATAATTGAGTTCGAGGTTTGAATATCTTTCTAATGCTTTCAAATGCACCACAAGAAAGTTCTGATACTGCTTGAATCTTTATTTTGAAGAAGACTGCAAGACATACAGTAAAAAATTCATGTTTTATAATCAAAAAAAAAAAAAAAAAGAAATGTGTGATCAAAATGTAAAGTCACTTTTTTTATCATGACACTAGGACTGTTTATTTCCATGTCACTTTTTAGCTGCCATCGCACCCTTTCAATAATCAGATCATCGTTTGTATTGCAGTGGCATACCTTGAAATGGAAACCATTGGTCAATGATAATGATTATCCGAGAGATTTGRGGCACTTACCTGGAGACCAAGAGATGAGGACACAACAAGGTCCAAAATCTTGAGACTCCTGGAAAATCCCAAAGAGGTGGCAGCCCTGATATAGGTCGATYGGTGTGTGATGATATACTGCAGTCTGACATAATTTGTAATGTATGTGCATGACATGTAATTATTACTTAACAATATAATAGATATATGGTCCTGCCTTTGTTTGTATTTGGAGTTCTTCAACTTCCTTTTYATGTCTTTCTTCTTGTTCTGCTTCTAGTTTAGCGATATCAAGAGCCACTGCTTTCTTTTTCTTCTTGTCTCCTTTTGGGATCGAATGTTTTAATACTTGTATCTTTGCTGTTAAGAAACACAAAATGATTTCACTCAATGAACCGATGCACATATACCTGATATCCAAACCAATATTAAAGGAAAGCAGAAAATGATAAAAAACGCTATATTTTAGTTTTCTTCAAAACCAACAAAAGGCGAAATAATTAAATAGGGTTGAGATTWGAGAACATCCCTTTAGTTTTGGGCGTAAGTGTTTTCCAATTTCCGATCTATGATTTATCTTTGTCCATTCTCTGGCTTTGAGATGATACGTTGCAGTCATTTTATGCATTTATGCCTCTCATGCAATCAATTATTTATATTCAATTTATTTTTACCCAGAAGTTCCTTGTTTTCCTTTTTATGTCTTGCTTTGATGATTTCCAAGTGTTCAGTGACATTTTCTTCMACTTCGTCCGCCATTTTGAATTTCCTCCCTTATGGGAGAAGGCGCTGTACTTCTTACAACGCGGGCCTATTAGTACCCAAGGAGCCCAAACATGGTAACCTAAGGGCTGTCAACTCTCCCGGATAAACCGGGAGTCTCCAGATTTTGGGCCGTATCTCCCGGTCTCCAGATTAGAGTCTCAAATCTCCCGGATAATCCCCGAAGCTGACCATTTTTTCTTGTGAGACCCGAGTTTCACAACCATAAAATTCCAATTATCTTACGTTGTTTGTGTTATTTTACATCGCTAACAAAATCAAAACGTTCCTCATTGCTGTTCTTGCAAGCAGGCCATTGTAATGTAAGCGATAATCTGATTGGTCAGAAATAAACCAATCACATCAAATGTTAAAAACCGAAAGGCGTCTTTTCGCGCGCTTTTTGACGCGCTGTGACGTCATGTCCCTTCCCTATCAATTCTCCAGATTTGAATATCTCGGGGGTTGACAGCCCTGTAACCTTTATTTTATGATATAAAAAAATATAAGAGAGAGATGTTAAATTCACTACGTAATTAATAGTCGTTTGGAAAAATTTAAGTAAGGAAGATGAATTGCCAATACCATTTCTATACCAACCTCATTGAGCTCTATAGCTCTATACCTTATCATGCCCTATAGTAGTAGTTGATCCASGCCTTACCAAAAAAATTGAGTATATATAATTTATATATCATCTTTAATCCAAAATTATATTTTTAGCAATCTCGCAGGCCTTGCTTTGTGGAAAACTCTGCGCTCGAGATTGCTTCTTAAAATGAAACAAATGCTTTATTTGGGTTTCCTGTGGATACAATTTAGAAACCGCTGACTCATCTCACTGACACATCTCCAAATATGGAAGTGACGTAATGTGACGTAATGATAAGTTATAATTTCTCCCGATCACGTGACCAAACATTGGAAACATTGCGCAGATAAAAGTGATAACATAAGCAAGAAAATTTTGCTTCTTGATTGTTTTACAGCCAAAATATGAAGTGGGCATTCAAAGAAGAGCATTCTTTAGGTATAACTACTTTTTCTGATSGCTTTGAGGTATTATTTAGAAGGGTTTTTGATGAAATTCTTTTGATGCGCTTTCGTTTTCTCAACAGAGTCGCGGTGTCAGGAGTCGAGCAAGATTCGCTCSAAATACCCAGACCGAATACCAGTAAGTAAGATAAATACACTTCTTCTACAAAAACAATCCATTTTTTTGTTAAATAAGATGTGTTTTTTGTTTTTCCAGGTCGTGGTAGAGAAGGCACCAAAGTCTTCCATTCAAGACATTGATAAAAGAAAATTCCTCGTCCCTTCAGATCTCACAGGTACAAATGCCAGCCATCTTTGCAGGGCGGAAGCAACCATTTTCTTTGATAATTTATAGACTTTTTCTTTAAAAATGTACTCGAAACTTCAAGAAAACTTTAAAAAAATTGCTTCTTTTATGTCCACAGTTGCACAATTTATGTATATCATTCGCAAACGAATCCAACTGCCTCCAGAAAAAGCCATGTTCTTATTCGTCAACAAAGTCCTTCCCACCACWAGGTAAGCTTATAACTAGTCCTTTACATCTTTTCTTCTTATTTCTTGACTTCTTTATTGAATAATTACATTTTCCAAGCACATTAGAAATATSTTAATTCATATCAATCTATATTGTGCTATCTTTCAAGGTAAACACTATTTTTGCTAAGCTTGGATTTTTCATTGTTACAATATTGCTCTCTACAATTTACGTAATTTTTAAAAACCAAAATTGAAATATTTCATTCCCTTAGTAATATTAATTCCTTTTCAAATAAAGTTGGAATTTTAGATRGATAGAAAGCAAAAAGAAAAGTGGTTTTAAAAATTGTCCATGTATTTAAGAAACGAGAGAAAAGAATTTTTTATAATAAACTTTGCATAATTTTAAAATTCAAAACAACTTAAACCTCTAATGATRTTCATTTCTAAGTTTGATAATAAAAGAGTATTGTTTTATATATCAAAGTTAAAAATATTTATAAAAATCACCAAATGTGGAAGAACTTTAGAATACTTTCTGAAAAAAAGGAAAATGATTTTGAAAGGATGTAGTTAGAGCTCTCTGTCTTGCCAGACCAGCTATTTTAGTATGAAAACTTCAAAATAGTTTTTTTTTTTAAATTAAGAAAATTTATGATATTTCTTAAAATCATTGAACTCAGAAACATATGTTTGTTTGAATGCCATCTTTATCACAAAGCCTTTTTAATTTCAGAAATTTTTCTTTTTCTTTGTTTACATCAGTCATTCTAAAACATTAATTCAGAAAGATTTGCATATATTTGCATGTGTAAACAATTAACCATCAACAAATGAGCTTGTCTCAAAGCCATAGATGATACTTCATTKGTTCCTCAATGGAAAGCTTCTATTCTTCTTAAGAAATTATCTGTGAGAAAAATACAAAGGAAGTACAGGTTGACAATTTACACAAGGCATTTATTGTTGATGCCAATAGAATAATACGTTAGTTTTAGGAAATGTGGGTATTTTAACTTTAGTGGGCAAGTAAACCAAGGTTTTTGTGGTTGAAAATCTCTAGTGAAGGTTTTCATAAACAAAACTTGGTTGTTTAAAAATAGCTTTTCAAGTTTTTTTTACTTTCTAACACAATTTTGGTAAAAATCTCTATTTTATATTATATGCTCTTAGCTTTATTTGTGAAAATTTTTATTTTAGAATTCGCTAATGACCTGCAAAATGCCCTTTGTTTGGATAAAAATATTTCTCCTTTAATAGTTCTATCGTTCRACAAGGAATGCCCAAGTACATTATATTTGTAACTATATTCTTAATCTCAAAGTTACTTTAATATGATGTTTCTACTTTTTCTCTAGTTCAACAATGGGAGCAATCTAYGAAGAACACAAAGATGAAGATGGCTTCTTATACATTGCCTACAGCGGAGAGAATACATTTGGAAACTGACGAGTGCCATTACAACCAGCATCAATTACTAGTTCTCTTAACTACTTAGTTTTTCACTAACAAACAGGAAATAATGTTAATATGCATGTTAAAAATATAGCATGTATATAAACTAGTCAGTATACTCAACAGTTATTCAACCCTATAATGATTAATAATATTATATATTGCCAGCTATTTAAGTATTCCRACATCAGTATACTCGGCAGTAAAATAAAAAGCCAGGCATTATTACTAGTCATGACAGATCAATTTTTCTCCAAAATTGATCATATGTGATAATTCTTTTGAAACATAAACAATTTTTCTACCTCCTAAACTCTATAAAATTAGTAAAAATAGCACGGGAGAGGATAAAATGGCTGGAATATTACTTATRAGCTGCAAATCGAAGTACCAGAGTTTGTAAATAACATGTAAGTAGGGGAACAAAAAGAAAGTAAAGAGGTTGGGTGCCCAAAAATGTTTCTTTTTTTTAATTTAATATTTCTATTACCAGTAGTTAGGTCTAATCATAATGATAATAAGGGGTTAACTAGTCATAACTTTGCTCCAGATGAGAATGGGTAATTCCAGAAAATATCTATACCCACCCCACAGGGAAAATTTGAAATTCTAGAGGGGATGGGGTAGGGGGTTCCAATTACAAATTCCTTTTGGTGGGAATTATCTTTATTTTCTGGAACTACACATCAACTATGTTGATGGTGAATTCTTATGTTTGGGGTTTGAGAAAGGTTCTCTCTCTCTTTGCCTCCCATCAGTTCAAAGCTAATTTATGACTAGTTGCTAATGACAAAAACAACAAAAGTCAAACCAATAGCTTTTATGAAATAATATCATTTATTTAAAATTTTGAAAACTAAAGTAGATTTTTAGGCTTTAGTGACCATGCAGGAAAAGCATTCATAAACTGTGTTCGCATTTCGTAATACTTTGTTGCTGCATTTTTAAATTGAGAATACGTCTTTAGATCAGCAGACCTGTACAGTTTAGAAATGCAAAATAAATCATGTTAGAAAATATATGATTGCTCTCAAGTTACTTGCGTTATATGTTCAYGTTAATCTGCTATCAAGTTACTGGTAGTACAATTACCAGAAATTCAACGTATTAACGTCTTGTTTCAAATTTCAACACAGGAAACCCAGGAGTGCTTTGTTGATWTATTTGTTCATGTATGGCYGGGCTCCTGTGCTAAGGGCTGGTGTGGCTGGTGTCAGAGTGTARGCTCTAAGTTATTTAATTTTATAATTTGCATTCCAAGACTGCCCCTCCCCATTCACTTCATTGTGATAGTTTTCTGTGGTCATTGAATGAATTAGGATATGCTGAATGGTGCTCACCTTAAAGTGAATGGAATCTTTTCATCAGGGATGATTTCAACTAAATTGTTAAACTCTTTGAATAAACTGGCCTTGCATATGGATAACCTGGAGAAAGATTTCAAATTTATCAACAGGGAGGCCTTGAAACTTTATGTGCATTGAAATATGGGCTGTAGTGAGGGTGGATTAAACGTTGAGTGTTGGTAAAGAGTCTTGTTGAGGCCCATCACTAGGGGTGAATTGATGGTTCAAACAGACCTCCCCTATCCACCTTTGTAGGAGTTTAAAATAGTGTTATTTTGTTTTTTCAAAAAATGGCATAACTAAKATTGTTAGAAAGACATTAAACTTTCCCTTTCTAGGTCCCAGCTGACGAGGTCATCGTTTCCTGTGTCTCAATCAGTGAGWTGTCATAAAATTATTGGAAGGCTACGCAGAGAAAAACCTATGGCTTCTACTAACATGGCTGCTGTATAAGAAAGACCCTGGCCTGGATAAAATAGTTAATAGACTCTTTCATACCTTGCCTTAAGTGTGTTTAGATCTCCTTTTGTAATTCCTTGTCTGAGTCCATTGACTCCCACTTCGTAAATTGGTGGTTCTTTTATCCAAATTATTGCTTTTGGGAAGAAAARAAAACAACTTCAAATAATTGATAATTTCTACACATGGGTTTATATCAGCTGGTTGTCTCTCCAGTCCTCCAGGGCCTGGTTGTACAAGCCTGGGCGGATAAATCCTTATCCAGTGGATAAGTCAATGCTGTTATCCAATAAAGTTATCCACTGGATAAGATTTATCTGTTGGATAGCAYTATCCAGCCTTCGTACAACAGGGCYCAGATGATCCATCTTTGTAGGATAAATAAAGTTGTTGATTGATTGGTTGATATAAAAATTGAAATTATATACTTTTCATTTGKCTAATGATTGAGTATCATCTAATTGTGGAAGGACTGCATTGTTTTGACTGCAAACTGCTAGTCTTCATAAGGTGATAGTGTAGACTGCATGGTGTGTAGAMTGTTATATAATACCACTCGTTGGATCATCTGTTCTGTTGGTTGGTTTGTGCTGAGATTGGCTGTTAGATATGACAAATATTATAAGAAAACACTGGACGGAAACGCAACAACWAAACAATGCCAAAAATAGAATATTTTAACCTTCAAAATTGTTTGTATCCATTTGTTTGACCGATTATTAGAATTATACTAAAACAATATAGGCCTCAATASTAAAACAATATACCCTCCTCCTCATGGTCTGCAAGTCCTTTGCCTCATGGGCTATTGACTCTTAGACCATTTGGGCTGGAGGGCTTGGTTGTTAAATAATTATATACCTGCCGATGAAGGTGATATTTTGACATCTTTTCCCATTTCATTTTCAACACCTTCCTTTCCATCTTTGAATATCACATCAGTGATGAAGAACTTTGGAGCATTAACTTTAAACCCAAAGCAAAGTTTAAAGWCATTCATTTTATCTTTTGCCCTGCCATATAAGCCTCTTTGTAATGCATTGACATCACAGGGACACCTCCCAAGTATAATTGACGACAGATATATTGGTGCTACCAGGAAATGAATTAGCAACCCTCCTTGGCAACCAAGGACATTCCATTTCAGTATCTTGTCACTACAGGACATGGATAAAGTGGGGTCACCCCTTCCTGGCTTGGTTCGCAAGACCCCAATGTGATGATAATCAATACCAGGTTGCAAAGGATCTTGGGGTTCTCCGGGTACACACTTGGCACCTGTTCTGAAAATATCCTTTTGCTGTTGTTTATCTAATTTACTGCCATGCTCTAAACTTTTCTGTTCATTAATAACTGATCCACTGGAAGAAGAAGTCRTACTTGATGTCTTCCTAATGTCTTTTATCATTTCTCGTCTATCAAATTTGTTAAGAATGTGTTGACAAACGTTTTCATCATTTGAAAGGTGTGAGAGACAAGTCTCATCATCTGTGTTGTTATCCAAGCAGCATTCATTTGTACCCAGTAGGTCTACCGTACTATTGTCTATGGATTGGGCAACTTGGCAAGCTTCTTTGCTATCATCTTTTTCTCTTTTCTTACTCAATAAACAAGGCTTCTTGGGTTCTCTTGCATCCTCATCTGTTGTGTGATTCCTTCTTTTCTTTTGTGTAAGCTTGTTAGGTTCAACTTCATTTGTATTATTTGAGTTGGTGTTTTGTTTAATGCCACAGTCTGGCTTTGGAAAGATTGAAGCATCACCGCCTGTAATGGTAGGGAAATCTGATTAACTCACTTTAAACTGAATGACATACTGCATGATTAATAGACTGATCAAGGATGGCTGCAATAAACACAACCTGAAATGGTCCGTTATGGGATGTATCAGGACTTGTGTATTGGGCATTCATGTGAATTAATGCACTGGCAGACTAACTGATACTAGATAAATAAGTGAAAATTATTGAAAGTAGTTAGACTACTCACAAGGGGTGTGTGATGTAAACAGGTGGAATGATATCTCATCCTTTAATAGACAAAGGTTGGTGTCTTCCTGGAAATCAAAGATGGTTYCATCCTTTCCTTGGTATGTGTCTGCCAACTCTTTGTTTAAATATCTGGAAAATTATATAAGTATCAGACATTTACTAAAAGTATTGCCATTGTGAGACCCATACAAATGGTGCAACTTTCATTGAATGCAATATTACTCTTCTGGTGTTGATTCCGTCAAACATGGATGCTGGTACATGATTATGTATTCACTTTTATTAACCTTAAAAATCCTCTTCTTGCAATTATCTCAGCATGGCTGTCATTCAAAACATCACCTAAAAAATAAACAATTAAACAAAATGAAAGGGGTGCCAAAAGGCCCAGAGAAATATCAGACAGGGCATTGCAATTTTTTTTAAAAGTCTTGCAATTATTGCTAGTTTTTTTTCATTGCTGTCTTGAAGTCACAATTTTCTTTTGGAATCATTTTCTTGGACAACAGAAATCTGATCAACAGAAATTGTGACAGGAAAATCTGGAATACACTAAACATCAGTCACATAAATATTATTTGTCAACTTTTATACTCTTGTTGACAGCAGTGTAATAGCCCAATTTCCCTCTTGCGAGTAGTACTGCACACAACAATGAAAACAGTGGTAAGTATGTGCAGCATTTACTTCTAATCTGTATACCTCTCTCACTYATTTTGCTTTGCCCGATACACTTTGAGCCTGTTCCCATGGCAACAATCTCTAAAGAGTAATGATCACCTGAAATGATAGGACATTTTTTATTAATATGAATTTTGGCTTAACATCACTAGTCAAAATTTCTGGTAAAGCAAAGACTTGACCAGACAAGTTTCGATTATGGCCAGACATCATAGTCTGAAATTCCGCCAATTTTTTTAAGCCATGTGATGTAATGTTTTTAAGTWGAAGGTTGGAACTTCAATCCCTGGCTTGAGCAGCACTCGTGATTTTTTTAAAACCAAGGAAAAGGTGCTATGACATCAAATGATTAGACTTTCAATTGTATAACATTAATGGAGGTTTTGTCTGTCCACACTTCAGCATCAATAACCAAAACCACTGGTTGTGACATRTGATGCTTGGAATACGATCTCTTTTCTTTTTTTGTTCTTATTTCCTGAATAACAGTAATATCCAAGGTACTTCATTATAGGGTGATACTTGTGGTAATCACAGTAATAAAGACAACGTTCACTAGTACATGTAGTAATAAGGTAATAGGGAATAACAAGACACCAGTATCCATTTTTTGAATTGACTGTATACATGTAGTTACATAGAAAGGACGCTATAACTAGCATACATCGTRGGTCATAATTCTATTCACAACATGTTAACCTTGCAGTAAGTAGTATTTTCTACCTTGTTGTTTCACCATCACCACAGCTGCTAGTAACGTCCATTCCCTGCCCTTCTGTGGCTTGCCCTTCTTACCAACAGATGAATACAAACTACAGCAAGAACTGGCGACATTTAGACCAAAATTTTCATCTTCCTGCCACAATACCATTATCATATAATCTAGAAACAATGTGCCATGATTGAATAAATAAAAATTGCACTAAAAATATTTTACAAAGACTTTCTGTTTCTCGTTTATCTGTCGGCCATCTTGGATTCCCTGACCGAGTGAGACTAAGGTTCAGTTACAATTTCTATAGTGTAGGGAGGGATGGGTGGAACGACATTTTTCTCTTTAACTGAATTTTGTACAATGTTCAAACTATATTTCAAGCACATTTAATAAAAGATTAAAATATTATGAAAAATTCGATTTTAAGACTTCAATACGAGTATCTTTTTTCTGTTTTGAATAAATTTTTAGGGATTACAATATAAGCTTTAGTGCTCCCCCCATAAAAATATCGTTATTTTCTAAAGCTGACCCAGATACCGAGGGCTCAAAGTTTACAAATTCGTAAAGATTTTTAGCGCGAAAAGTTTTCTAGAAAAGTCGTATTTATTTTAGGTAAAATTTACCAAAAAGAAAGATTCCAGCGGCCAAAATGGTGATGTACGAGGTCCACAGACATCCAATTTTACAAAAATACCGAACACATRTCTGTAGCAAGGCTACAGTTTTTCAATTTTTCGTTATTTGGTTGACATATTTGCCTCCTCTTATCATTGCTTTTGTGACCTTTGGTGAGCTCAAAAACTCTTTATTTATCTCTAAAAAATAAGAAATTTATACACTAAAGCATAGTTTTGCACACTGGTGTGTTGTTAGTGTATTGTTATAATTTATGGAGTCGTTTTTGCTGTTATATTCGAAGGTTTTTGGATGAAAGAGAGTTCCTTCAGAGAGCTTCCGGACGTGCAGTACAAGAATCAGTTGCTTCTTGTCTTACAAGGAAACGCGCCGGGATCTTTCGTAGCTTATAGTACTTTCCAGAACTTTAACCAGCTTCTTCAACAGAATCTACGAATTCCAATTGTCAAGGTGAATAATTTTCTGTGATATAAGAACATTTATAGCACATATTGTTTTGTATTCCCTTGACAMCCGTTGCCATGGACGAAGGGCGCTTTTATTGGAATAGGTTTTACAGTAGTGAAGAAATAGAAAATACACATAAATGTGTGCTGCATGCAGTTATAAATCATGCAGGGTCTGACAGAACATGAAAGAAGAGTTAGAAGTTATAATAGCACAACGCATAGCAATTCTCAAGTGTTCTGACAATCCTCAAGTGCTTTATAACTACAGTACACACAGCAACGTGTTTTTTATTTTATTTATTTGTACTCAACACAAATTTGAAGAGCTCTTACTTTAAATAACACAAATAAGAAAAATTTTATCTGTGCTGTTTACATTCATAAAACATGGTTGGGACCAATCACAGAGCGATATTTATTACAGCTTTTTTACAATTATTATTTGTGGTACATATTACTGTAAGTTTATTATGAGCTTTGCTTTTGTTTCCAGTCTTGGGAGGAAGATAACAATATGGATGGTAAATATGATGCTCTGAACTTTGACATTCAACTGCCACTAAAGGACACAGAAGCTATTTATTCACTCCAGTTGATTATGATCTTTGACTACAAGCTACATGTAAGTGTCATGGACTACACTGGAACCAGTTACAATTAGTACAGGCTTCATGTACGTGTCATTTCACACATAACAATAAAATACTCTCTGGTTGATAGCCCATGATTGGCAGTGTTTGTTTGTCAATGTAGGCTGATATAATGAGATTCATGAGATTCATTCAGCTGATAACACATGGCAGGCAGTGTTTGCCTGTCACTGATATGGTAGGCTGCTAATGAGACTATTTAGCTAATCAACACCAAGCAATAGAATATTCTCTTGATAGCACACGATGAGCAGCAGGATTTGCCTGCATGACAGTGTCATTGTAGGCTGATTCATGAGATTCATTCAGGTGATTGATACCATGCAATAGAATACTCTCTGGTTGATAACACATGACAGGCAGCATCTGCCTGACAGTGTTATTGTAGGCTGATAATAACATTCATTCAGCTCATTGGTACCACACAATATAATACTGTATGATCATTTCAGTTCAGGGGTGTATCCAAGGGGTGCCTGTGAACCCCCTTTCAAAGCCAAAAAGAATCTAACCGGCYGTCGATGCAGTGTGTGAAGATTTGTTTAGGCTTAACTTAAGCAGTTAAGAAAATCAGTGTTCTCGCTTCTCAGAGCCGTSTTTTCGTTTCGTTTCCCCTCTATCGACCATGATTCTTTTTCGTTAAAACGAAAGATTGCTATGACGTCATAGTGACAATTTGGTACGTAAGTACCTCCCCCCCCCAATTACAAATCCTGGATAACCCCCTGCGGTTGTACTAAACTTTCTGCTTTCATTCCTTCAGAAATATGTTAGCTTACAAATGGAAGGTATGGCATACATCCATTTTTCTTCACCCATTGCTGGAGCAGAGTTCAACACTGTTGGGGAACTTAAGCTGAGACAAAGGGATCTTCTCCCAAACAAAGGGCGATATTCATTATATAATGTAAGTCAATAGGACATTTGAAGGATCGATGGTGTCATTTGACTCCCACTACCATAATGCTTTGCTAACTTTCTTTCTTATTTATATTTGTATTCCCTCATGAGAATAGTAAGACAATGGGTGTAATTAACTGAAAAAAAGAAAGTGTGCAAAGGAGTCTGATAGCAGAGGTCAATGACACCATCATGCAAACGTCCTATTATTATTTTCAATTCCTTGGTTAAATTTTCTATCATTCACATCTATTCCTGTTTTGGCATCCCCTCCCCTTATATTGTAGTCTGGATAAATTATTTAAAATGTTTTTTTTAATACTCTATATAGACTTCTGTGATAGATGGTAGTAGTTCATCAGTCGATGCTTATGATTTGTACAAGATATTTAGCTCATACATCAAAAGAAATGGTAAGAATAAGGGTCGGTGTCCACTGGTAGAACAAAGCTTGGGATTGGACAAAATAACAAAAACAAAGAAAGCATGGATTATGGTGAACAATGCGTATTGTTCTACATGTGAGCTGCGTTCTTTGTTTYATCTCACCATTCATTGTTTGYTCATCYRCTCCCAGGCTTCRYTCTKCCAGTTGTGGATTACCCAAGAATAACCGTTACTGTAAATGCTAGTATGTCATGTCTCTGTTTAAGATCTAGTATTTAAGGCCATCACATGACAGGAAATAATTTCAAGTTATTCCTAGATTGATTGTATTTCTCAACATTTGTTCAGATCTCTGTTTGCATGAAGGTGATATATTTTGTATGTATTCATATGTTTGTTTTKGTTTTAAAGTGAGTACAGAGTATGTGTCCAAGTATCCATTGTGGATTGGAGGCAGAGGTGCAGGGCAACCATTTGTTATTAAAGGCACCATTCATTACCCAGAAGAAAGAGTATTGTATCCTTTGTGAACACATTTTGTGATTCTATGGTATCCAATCACGTCCCATCCCATCCCATCCCATTCCATTCCTTCCCATTCTTTTCTATGCTATTGTCACCCATTCCTTCAAGGTTATTTTCTCATCTATCCATCCTTTTTTTTCTATTTTTCATTTATTGAATTATCTGTCCATTTCCTCCATTTTATACATTGCAGCCATTCATTTATTTTTTACTATCCCCCCATCCAATCCACCCACCAATCCATCCATCTATCTATTCATTTTTCCATCCATTCGTATCATCCACCCCTCTCTTCAAACCATTGCATGCATATTTATATCTTCCATTCCATCTGTCCATTCATCCATTCATCAATCTATTTGTTTATTCATTTATTCATTCATTTGGTTGCTCGTTCATATTCATTAATTTGTTAGTTTGAGAATATGTGGACCGCGTAGCACTTATGAAATACATGAAGATATACAAGTATAGATAAGTTATAGTTCTTGGGAACGAGGTTACGAAAGACCCTTGGAATTAAATTTGGAAAAATTAATTTCTGACCTTGCTGGGAATCGAACCCACGACCTTCGGAATCGTACAACCGATGCTCTACCAGCTGAGCTAGAGGTCAGACTGAGAGCAGGCCGGGGTGAAATAGATCTTTTTGATCGATTCGATTCCCAGCAAGATCGGAAATTAATTTTTCCAAATTTAATTCCAAGGGTCTTTCGTCCGGAATAACCTCGTTTCCAAGCACTATAACTTATCTATACTTCTATATCTTCATTTGTTAGTTTGTTCGTTTGTTCCTTCCTTCCTTCCTTCTTTTCATACATCCATTTATCTTTTCTTTCATTATTTTCGTTCTTTGCTTTCTTGACTCTATCCAGCTATCGCCCAGGTTTCTGGCAGATGCTCAAGTGGGCTTGGATCCAATATCTTGCTATCCTCTTCATTTTCTTGTTTGTTTTCAACAGAGTCAAAAGATTTATTTTTGAGGAACAGATTGTACCAACCGTACCAATGACTTTACCCAAGGAACATTTTGACTAAACTTAACCAATACACATAGAAAGGCCAGGCACTTGTTCAAAGAGAAAACATAGTGGGGCACAGTACTGGACAGTTTTAAGTCACTTTCCAGGAAGTTACCATAGAGTATGGTATAAATATTTAAAAGGTGTGGAACACTGTATGATTGTCTGTAATTATGAGCATTTATGATTTAATAGTAAAACTAGAGGATGGAATTTTAGATTTGATAGTGACTTAATCAACGAATCATTTGAGTCTGTTGACAAGGATTTTTCAGATTTTTCAGGAGGGTATGGACGATTTTTTCCCTGCCCCCCTGAGGATTCTTGTTCACAGTCTATCTGTACCTTTTTAATACGCAAAGCTTCACTGTTTTGATTTCTCATAAAAAACTTACAAACTTTTTTTACAGTATAGTTGTAGTACTATGTAGACTTTTAATTAGATACGGTAGAAGTAATAAAGCTTAAAATTGTTCTATCAATACTATTAGTTTTAAACGTTTTGAAATAAGTACTAGGAGTTACCTTGATGGTCATGCATGCTGGGGACCAGCATCTTGTCATTGACTGGTTTTTGGATTATTTTTATTGATTAGATAAATCGGGAAAATGATTCCAGACAGTCGAGTGCTGAAACATCGCATGACAGCGCGAAGCATTTGCCGTGAAATTCTTTCTTAAAAAATTCGCAAAGTTAAAATTAAGGGTGACGGACGATTTATGAGTGTAGTTTTAAAAGTTTCCTTCTGGGAGTGTGACGTTTTGGCCACCAGTAAGCCAACAGGTGCTGGTCTTGTCACGCAACGCATTTCTGTCACGCCAGATATAGCTGGTGCTTCTTTGAAAATCACGAATTCCACACACACACACACACAMAAAAACAAAACCCAAATTTCACTTTGTGACTAATATTATGTTTTTGCATCTTTCCTCGTTTACTGATTGTATAATAGTGTAGGATTGCATGTTTCCAAAATTTGTGATCAATGGACGCATATCTCATGYCGAGAAAGCTTCACTTGTAAATTCTAATCCTAAAACCACAAGAAGACCTTGTTTCATTGATATCTAATACTTGTATTGGGTACGCTTTCTCCGAATTTTTTTCTTTTCGTAAATGTAAAGATTAAGGGTGTGGTGAGTCGAATCTAGGTGACATCATAATGTGAACAGTGAAGTCAGTAGGGTGTTGGTCTCACGCGAGATGGGTGTTGCAAGATTGTTCACTTTACTTGCAAAAACAAAGTCACACTCTTTGGAAGTAGGCTCAAGGACTGCTTCCCTGGATAATTTTATTTTCAAGGACATCTTTTGGTATTKATGGCCTTAAATCTCGTGGTCTAAAGTTTACCCTGAAGCCGATATATAAAGGCAATTTTTCGTGGTTCGTCTTCTGAAGTGGGTTCGAATCATTGCTAACAAGAATTCCAAACTACATTCGCATCCAAGATGGCCAAGAACTAGAAAGACCAGAACGCATAATTTATACGCGMCTATTTTTTCTTCTTCATCGTCGTCTAGTTCTGTTTAATGCGACATATTTTTCGTGGTTAACAAAGGAAAATACTTAAGTCGTGGTTTGAGTATTGTCTTTCTAATTTTTTCAACCGTCGCAAGAAATTCTGACGAAATCTTCACAAGATTATAGCTTTGTCTACACCATCACCTTAAAGATATTTTGACAATTAGAGGCGACATTACCATAGACACAAGTTTGTTTTTTCATTGTTTTGGAGAACGAGAAGAACTTTTATTTCGAAGCTAGGCATGCCGGGTTACGAGGTGAAGTTTGTAGGCGGTCCCGTGGACAAGTCTTTCGAGTGTCCCGTTTGTCTGACTGTCTTGCGGGATCCTGTACAGGTAACGCCGTGTGGTCACCGTGTCTGTAAGACGTGCATTCAGCCAATATTGAGGCAAGTACCTTAATAACAATGTAGTTATAACACTGAATAATATAAGTATCAATTTGTATGATATAACTTTGTTGTATTTTACGACATTTTCAATTAGAGAAATCTGTGGGATTTTATTTTTGCTTAGTACGCCGTTTGCTTTAAGTTTTTGTCGGTCAAGAAATTTTTCTAGATATAGAATAGTTTTGGTGTTTCTGGTTTTATATGTTCGCTGTTTGTCTTCACTATAATAAGCTGGTTTTTGATGTTTGGTTTTATGATTTTTTTAGGAATAAAAGACCACGATGTCCACTGGATAACCTCGCGCTAAGAGCCGACAAGGTAAAACACTTAATCCTCAAGACCTCTACCTACGGCGTGAAGTTTTCCCATTTCAAACCACATGTTGTTCTCTTGAGATTAAGATCCTTTGTTGAGTCGTATCCATAGTCATGTGYCTTCTCATGCACAAACGTTAAACAAAGTAATGATACTYAAGGGAATGACACGTGGTCCGAAATGGCAAACATTACGCTCATGGTAAGAAAAGAGTATTTTCACTCTCTGAGTACCGGATAATTTCTTTTTTTCCCCACAGGTTTTCCCTGACAACGCCTGTCATCGTCAGATACTTTGTCTTGATGTTTTCTGTGTCCATCACGAYAAAGGATGCTTATGGGAGGGTCCTCTGAACGATCTACAGGTAAATCATAAAYGTTCATCTTATTTTGCCTAATAGATTTATTCTGATAAATAATTTATTTTCGCCCCGGAAATTGCTCGAGCTGAAGGCTCGACTCCTTCATTGGACAATTTATCATACAAATTAGTTACACTACTCAAGGCGGATCCAGGGGATAGTTTGGTGCCTGGTGCCTCTAGGACAAACCCCTCTCCCATTTCAGTGAAATCGTTCTTTGTTCGCCTCTGATCACTCTCATGCGTATCTTGAATATTCCTTTCTCCATCTACAGCACCACCTTGAGTCCAGTTGTGAATACAGTGATATATCYTGCCCAAAGAAGTGTGGCGTGTCTTTAGAGAGAAGGAAGGTAGATGAGCACTATGTGGAATGCGATAACCGACTGACGCCGTGTGAGCACTGTGGTCGAATGGTCGTTTTTTCGGAAATGAATGTAAGTCGCCCTATCAACTATAGCTTTTTCTCTCNCGATAACCGACTGACGCCGTGTGAGCACTGTGGTCGAATGGTCGTTTTTTCGGAAATGAATGTAAGTCGCCCTATCAACTATAGCTTTTTCTCTCTCAATCAACTTCTCAATAAAATGTTTCTGTATAACTACCTCTGGGCTGATCTAAGTCAGGACACGGCTAACTCGCAGATAGAACCCTGGAACAACCTCTGGGCTGATCTAAGTCAGGACACGGCTAACTCGCAGATAGAACCCTGGAACAACCTCTGGGCTGATCTAAGTCAGGACGCGGCTAACTCACAGATCGAACCATGAAACAACCTCTGGGCGGATCAAAGTCAGGGCATGACTAACTCACAGATTCTGAACTGATCAAAGTAGGGAATGGTTAACTCACAGATCGAACCATAAAACGATTTCTGGGCTGATTTAAGTCAGGGCATGGCTAGCTTGCAGATTAATTACCGAGAAAACCAAAGAAACCGAAGAAAACCCCTTGTGTGTTAGAAATCTTGCATAATTTGCAAGCAAACGTGAAACTGCACAATGTGTGCGGCGAACCTTTCATGATATGATGTTGTGCATAATTCATGGTGCAACTATTGCATGCAGTAGTTGCACCCATGAAAGTGCTAGCGTCTAGGTTATTTTCAAGTATTGCGCGCAACAGTATGCAATGTGCTATGCAAAAGATTAAAAGGATGGGTGAAAAGGGACAATGTTGTCTGCAAAAGAAATACGAAATTCGAAATGCAAATGGCAATTTCCTTTGTATTTTCATGTTAGCCTTGCGCTCAAGTCAATTTGAAGCAGGGTCCATTGGTCGCAATAAACTACGTCTCTCTCCTTCATCCGTCTATTCATCAGTCCACCAGTTTATTGCTTTTATTCTATATATCCTAACAGACCAGAGCTTTTCTCTTCCATTATTTAATACCAATAAGAAATTCCATGCACTGGATTTTCCATAGGCCACATCCAGGGCCGGTTGTACGAAGCCCGGATAGCGCTATCCGACGGATAAATCTTCCCTAGTGGATAAATTTATATAACAGCATCGACTTATCCACTGGATAAGGATTTATCCCCCCGATAGCGCTATCCAGGCTTCGTACAACCGGGCCCTGGAAGTCCAGGGGGAGGATGTAGCTTTCTTTCTTTTTCCTCTTTTTTGCGGTTTTTTTGTTTTTTGTTTTTTTGTTTTTTTGTTTTTTTTGTTTGGTTCTCCGTCGACTTTTTCAGATGGATCTCCCCTCTAGACTCTCCTCTAAGAAAATTCCGGATCTGCCCCTGGCAATCCATCTAAATCAACTGCTTGCTTACCATAAAGACTAACA